ACACACACATATATATGTGTGTGTGTGTGTGTGTACAAAACTGTACGTATCAGCAGTGACATGATTACATGTAAGAAACTGCAGAACAATCAGTGTTCTTAAAAAAGCTCAACAAGGTTTGGGTGCTCTCAGTACGAATAAACCACCTGCAGACAGACGGGGCATGTCTACAATGGTGCTGGAAACACCACACGAGTAAGTGTACACCTACCAAGAGATGCTTGTCCTCTTCACCAGCCACCATTAGGGAACACTGTGAGCAGCCAGCTCCCCATTTTGCTTCTTGGGTTAGAAGCCCTGCTATCACCCTGACTGACTCTCTCATGGGCCATATACAACTCACGAGCAAATTCTGTTGGCTCTTCATTTAAAATGAATGAAGAATTTGATCAGTCTGAACCATTTTGACCTTGATCTAAGGCACCATCAAAGGTAACCGAACAAGTACAACTTAACTGATATGTTGCTCCTTTTGCTTGGGTATGAGCTCACACTTGTGTTCCCAGCACTCAGGAAGCAGAGGCAGGAAAATCACAGAGTTTGAGCCACACAGTCAGTTCCAGGCCAGTGTGTGCTACTCAAGCAAAATCCTGACTCCAAACTGAAGGAGAAACATGACCCAGGAGAGGAGAGATGTTAGGACACCTGAGTCAGGCAAATTTTACTTTCAAGTTTGGGAGTTTTTAGAGCCCGTTCTTGCAGAGGAGAGCTTTGCTGGTGCAGATCTGACTGGGAGGTCAACATCTGTCTGGTTCTCTAAGTAGGTCAGTATAGTTCAGGCGGTCTCCTGCACATACAAAGATAAAAGTGTGCTGTCACAAAGTGCAGGGGCTTGTCTGTTCTTGGCTTCTGTACACTGACCTCCTTTAGAGCAGTGAAGTAAGGACAGTATCAATTTAGGGTTTGGTCTTTTGGAGCTTCTAAGAATGAATTGGCAGTGAGGAATATGAAACCACCACCAGAGTGCATGCTGTTGAAGGGGTTGAACTTGGGCAGTCCTATTACCATCATCTTCATTTTATAAAAGAAGTAAAATTCAGAGAGGTTTAAGGATTTGTTAAAATATGCACAGCCAGACCTGGAATTTGAGCTCATCACTGATCTGACTTGTTAGTGCTGGGGTAAGCATGAAAGCACTATGGAAGAGAGCTTGCCTTGTCTATTTCTTTGCTTGGACCTGTCCCTCCTCCTTGTATTTGTCTCTGGTCCTT